GCGTGGGGTGACATACCAATAAGCAGCTTGAAACCCGGCCTGGATGCCATCAGCCAAACCTCCTTTAGCGCCGTCTGGGAAGCCGAGACCATAAGCGCTCTGTGGTCGCGCAGTCGAAGCGCCCGAAAGCCTTTCCAAAATGACGCTGAAGCCATGCCCACTACATCGGCGCACGTCAGCAGCATGTAATTCAAGGCCCATCACGGTGGTTCCAGTCCCGTCAAACTTGGGTGAAGCTCGTTCACCAGCAGCCCGCGTCTGACGGAAGCACCAATGCGTTTTTGGTACTGACCAGCATGGGTTAATGAGTCATCACCATATCGGTGCCGTCGTTTTAACTGTTACATATGGCATCTTGCAAGGACTGACCAATCCAAGGTAATGCTTGTCATCCGTATGGATCTAAGCCGCTGTGTCTGTGTTGTTTTGTGATGTACCATTGCACCCTTTTACGAAGATCCCGTAGGTCCAATTCTCCACGGATGACTGCCTGCCCTGGTGCCTGTGTGCCTGGCGGCGCTGTAGCTACGGTCTCACCGGTGCGCCGAGCTCGTTCGCCTGGCTACTCAACATCGTGCTGGACAGATTGGCACCGAAGGAATGTCTGGCATGCTGCGACGACATCGTTGTCCACGGCGACTCGGTCAGTCAGGTCCTGCAGCGTCCTGGAGAGAGTGCCCAAGCGTTCCAGCAGCGCAGGTCTCATTCTAAACTCGGCGGAAGGCCAGCTGCTCCGATCAGTGGTGACGCACCGGGGTCACCGAGTCTCAAAAGACGGCATCGGTCCCGATCCAGAAAAGGTACAGAGAGCGGTGGACTGGCCAGTGCCCAGATCCAAAAAGGAGCTGTTTAGCCTCCTGGGATTGGCTGGCTACTTTCGTCGCTACATGGCCAGCTTCGCTGAGGTTGCTGCACACTGACCCGCGATGCAACTGACAAAAACACGTGCCATTTCACTAGCCACCGGGGCTGAAACAGCATTCATCAAGCTGAAGGACCTGCTGACCCCAGCACCAGTGGTGGCTCTGCCTCAATTTGAAGACGACGCAGCGCCCTTCATCCTGGAAACGGGCGCATTCGACCGCGGGGTGGGATAGGGGCTTACCTTCTACAGGTGCAACACGGACGAGGAAGGAAGATAGCCTTCCGCAAGCACTACCTTCGCAAATCGTCACTTCCTGTTGGAACGGAAGTCTGTGTGGCGAACCGGCCACAGTAGCCCACGATGGCTGCTACTCACTTCAGGGTTTCCTAGGGGGTGTTCGCCCGGTGGCTAGAAATACTGAACAATTTCCAGTTTACTGTGGTCTATCACCCCGGTCTAGTCCATGACGATGCCGACGACATGTCACCGCCGACCCGAGAGGTCGTCTGCCAGGCGGCCCAGTCCCTCCCGGAAATGTCGTTTTCTCGTGACGGCGAAGCGGCCGTGAATACCGCCCGCCCCGGTGGCTCAGTTGGTTAGAGCGCCTGCCTTCCGATCCACCCACCCGTGGCGCGGTGGGCTCGTGTCGCTTTATGGCGCCCGCTATTTGCCCTTGACAGGCATAGCCTGCGGCCGGTGGCAGCGGTCGCACTGAAGGTCAGTTGGCTTCAGAGGGCAGGACGGACCGTGCCGAGCATTGCGACACGTAAGCTTTCGCCACCAAATTGTGCCGTTGACATAATTACGCGATCGGGTGGTAAGAATCAGAGCTCACACAACGAACACTGCTTAGCTCTGATCCCAGAAATCCATCCATTCAAAGGCTTCGGATAAAATCTTTTTAAAAAATGCAGTTGACACTGCATTCACGACCCTGTCGCCACCGCCACAGGAAACGTGCATGCCCGCTCCGTCTCAAAGACGGGTACCTCGGTGCGCGAGCCCGCCGCTGCCGTCCCGGCCCCAGCCGTAAGTTAAACGCGTTTCACTACCAGGCGGGTGATGCGGTGTACCTGTTCCGGAAGGCGCCCGCCCGAACGAGTATGACAAGCTCGCTCGGCCCTGGAAACCTGCGGTGGTGACTCGTCCAAATGGGTAGGCAAGTTACCGCCAGCGCACGCAGCGCGACAGCGGCGCAGGAAACTGGTGGTCCACTACAATCGGTTGAAGCCGCGTCCGTAACACTGCAGCAACAGTTGCCATCGGCAACACCAACACACCGGACTGCGCCGGCCGCGGCGCCGCACAGTCAAACGGCTCAGTCGCAGCGCCAGGTGCCAACTCAGTTACACCAGCACTGACCGTACCAATGTCCACACAGGCGGACAACAGACAGTTGTACCGACTGAACCAGCAGCACAATTTTTGTGTCTGCGCGTGACGCAAGGGACTGACGTGGCTGGGTGTCCGCCTGAAGAGGCTGGGGCCGCCAATCTCGCTCCAGCCCAAGCCGCAACAGCGAATTAGCCGGCAGAGGCCGAGGCTGCGAATCCGACGCCATTCCAGGCCGCAGTTGAACCGCCAAACGAGCCGGCAACAGCAGCGATACCGACCCGTGACCTGTCCCGGCTCGCAGTCACGCATCCGCGGCCCACGGTCACCACTGTCCCTCCGTTACCTGGCGTCCAGCCAATGAATTACCACCAAGTCCGGGTCTCCACTCAAATGCGTCCAAGGCCCTGGAGTCCCAGTGCCTGTGGAGCAACCGTCTTCGGACGGTCATTGCGAGGCAGCGGAGCGCCCGACTCATATGACCTTCAGATCGATTTGGCCGATGACTGATAACTGGGTACGTATAATGATCCATAGTGCATTTGTATTGTTTGTGTCACCATGTTATTTAAGTAGTTCAATGGCGTGGCGGATATCGTTTAAAGGGTCTTTCCTACTGGTGCACGTTAAGTATAGGCTCGTAGGATACGGTGGTTGTTATGCCTTGGATTTGTTCATTATGTAATGATTGAATGATTCACTATGAGGTCATTGTTCTTTTAAGAAGAGTCAAGTGTAAGGTGTCAGAGCACACCTATGTGTTAGCCAGTGAATATGGTTTGGTGAGCGCCGTTAAGATGCGCTCGCGTTCCGCTCCTGCCCCAGGCGCCCCGTGCGAGAGATGCGCCGTGGGGCCGGGAAAGGAGGCCTTACCTGAGAGCCGGCGGCACGAGGACGGAACGTGCCGGCGGGACGGACTGTGTGGGGTGTCATTTAACGAGTGCCAAATACAGAAGTCACTTGGGACGTACCGTGTGTGCAAGTGACCGGGAGATGAGGCACCAGAACAGCAGAACGTACGTTAGTGAGGCAGAGGCGAGACACCGGAACGGTAGAATTTACAAATACAGGTGTCTGGGAAAAATTATTATGACCAAACCAAAAGATAACGACATTGAACTTTACTTAGCAATGGTGCCGGGCTATCAGGTGTCAGAAAAGCACACTCGTGCGACTTTGGTTTCGTTCTTTTCGATCGAACACAACGCCAACGTATCACTCAATGTTGGCAAAAGGGCTCGCTGACTATTCTCTGGCCGTGTTTAGAAATGAAAGTTTGGTCTGGAAGGCGATAAGACGATCGCAGTATTTCCAGGTCAGTTATCCCATTCTGGCCCCTACTCCACGTTTACTCTGTACGCAGCGTTTCTTCACGGACATTCCACTCCTGCTCAGGTGCAACCCGCCGCCGCATCGTCGGCCCGCCGGCCGTCGGTCGCCCGCCAGCTGGTGGTAGGCGGGTGCGAAGGAGGTCCTCAGCCGACCTTTGCCAGAAAGCGCAGGTCGACGCTCGCGGGTAGGGGCGGGGGGCGGGTGTGTGCGGACGCGGTGGTCATCGGGCATGTGTGTAATACCTACGTGTCAAGTATGTGTTTGCGGCATGTGGAACGGTGATGATAAAAGAATCACTGATTAATCACAGCAACATGTGGAGCATGGATATCAGGATGTTTGTGGATGAATTTCATTTTGCGATCCCAGTGGACCTGGACCTGGACCTGACCCGGACCAGCAGTGCAGTACATGTCCTCAAAGTATAAGATAATTGCCTGTGAATGAAATAAAGCCTTTTTGGATTCCAACATTAAAATTGTGAACCTTGCCTCAAACTTGATTTTAGTTACACCCTGTTTTTTACACCCTGCCCAGTGAGAGCATGTCCAATTCTTTAATATTGTATAAACTGGGGTATAAGTGAAATTTTCTTTGCAAGAACTTGCTGGTGATGAAATATCTTAACAATATCTGTAGCTGATTTGTTACTATTCTCTGACTTTAAAAGGGGCATGTTTTGCTAAGCATGTTTGCAACAACAGTGCCAGTACCTGTGTAGTGAGTTTTCACAGTTTGACACACTGCTGCCATCAATTTGAGTACAGAGAGGGAAATTCTGTCTGCAAAAAATGCTACTTCCATGAATTTCCTGTTTTGCTGTAAGCACTTAAAGCCAGGAGTGTAGTTTCTTATTCAGTTTGGAAGGGCTTCAGCCCCCTCCCCCTGCCAACTTGAGCCTTGGCACTCCACTCCAACTTTGGGAATAAAGCTTATCTGGGAAGGAACCTGTTGGTCATTTTGGGGCTAGGTCAGGTCATTTTTCACTGCTCAGCCCCCCCCCCCCCCCCCCCAGCTCATTTGGGAAACTGCCACTGGTTGCAGTATGGTTTTGGGCCTGATAAATGGTTATAAGCATATTCTTGCATATCATGCGGGATAATGCAAATAAATGCAAAATGGCCAAAAGTGCTGAAGTGTCAGAAGTGTATCAAGTAATGCTCATCAGTAGGACTGCAGTTTTGAAGCATTTCACATTACCCAATGATATCACTGCATCATTTTGTACTGTTTTGCTCTGTTTCTGAACATAGGTATTTCAAATAAGCAAACAATGCCTAATATTTCTGTTTCAGGAGTAAAACTTCTCAGCTATAATGTCCAATAAAGGGAAGCCCAGTGTGAGAGAGGCAGAAATTGAGAAGTGTCGTGAAGAGGCAAATTGGAAGAGGGTCATTGATCTGGCCGAGCAGGGGAAACAGCGTAATCCCTCCACAGGTCTGTCCAGAGCATGGTATGGCTCACATTATAGCCTCGAGTGGCTTAATTTCCACTTGGATGGCTGCAACTAGGTGCAGTATTCTGCCACAGGGCTGTGGGCCTAGTTTCATGAAATGGCTCCATGGATATGCTCACTATCATATTGCACTCTGAAAGTGAACTAGGAAAAAAGACAAATTTTCCTCAGCATTTATGTTGCATGCCATTATGAATTAGATCCATCAGCAAAGCTAATATATGCTTTGCATGCCTTCAGACTACTGCATGCTGCATAAGCTTGCAAAGCTTGCATCAAGAGTGCCCAGGGTCATTGATTCACTCGACAAGGCGAAGTCCAGGATGTGGTTACAGATGGGCATGCATGGCTGACCAGTCAGCATCTCACCACTGATATGTGGTTTGACTGATACAGCACTTTATGCACAGACTTGTCAAGTTGTGGCTTAAATGAGCTGGCTGCCTGCCGGAGTACCGTGCGTCAGCAGAAGTTGTTTTGGTGCAGAGCCACTGGCCAATTTCCTGATCGCCGAGGCGCGGCTGGAGTACTACCTGGAGGAGAACCCGCCGAGCGATGCCAACCAGGAGAAGGCTCGCCGTGAGCTGCGCGACGTGGAGCGGCTGCTGACAATGGCAGCCACCTCTGACTGCCCACAGAAGGTATGCATGAGCCACTGAAGGCGCAGTGATGTGCAGAAGGGGCAGATGGCTCACATAGGGTGAAGGTATAGGTGGCAAACAGAGGGTAAACATTGACTGCAGAGGACAGATGCGGTTTCTTGCCATCGCTGTGATCACCATGCGCCTAATCGCACCACCACGCGTCCTGGTGGGTTGTCACGCTGTCTGTAGGGTGTGAGCCAGGCGGGTGGATATTCAGGTGTCAGTGCTTGTAAGGATCTCCCTTCGGATAGCCGTGCACTCGCTCTCACCCCACTCGCGTTGGAGGTACTCAAGCATGTCTTGACAGCATGAATTGTGGACGAAGCGAAGCGAATGATCCTTTTGCGGAGCATCATTGACTGCGTGCTGCTCGAAATTCGAGGCATTACTATGCCCCCTTTCCCCCCCTGCCACCTTATGCGCTGGCTCCGAGCCGCCGTATCATGTGTATAAATAAATAGCCAAATAGAACGCTGGCCGTTTGGTAAAGGCTGCGGCGAGCACAGCTGCTGCGGCAGTCACAAGCCACCCGCCTGAGGCGGCTGGCCCTGATGGCTCGCTACTGGGCCTGGCGTGTGCGCCGCTGGCTCGCCCGCCCGTGCGGTCTGTGACGCGACAGCGACGCGCTGGTCGGCAGATGGACATGATGATAGACGCCCACCTGCTGCTGGGCAAGGTGCACCACGCCATGGGCCTGCACGAGGACGCTCTGCTCGACCTGTCGCGCGCCGGCCTCGACACGCTCGCCAAGCGTCAGCTGCCCACTCGCAGTCTGCGCGTGGTCGCCGAGTCGTACGCCGTGAAGGGTGAGTTTGGGGAAGAGCCGGGGACCGAAGCCGTGCGCGGTCTGGGTCCGGCGCGGTTCCTGAGGGGTGCGGCTTAGAGGACAACTGTCTGGTGTACAGGGCTCACCAGTGAATGTTGGTGTGCGCCGCGAGCTTGCGATTGGTTGTACGAAACCTTGCTTTGCCTCAGCGTGTTTTCTAGCTTTCGTTGTTGATTATTAGCATCCTTGTCATCATCTGTCTATTACAACTGCAGTTGTCTCTGCTTTCCAAGCTGTCATGCACGTATTTCTTTCGACGTCTTCTGCCTTTTTCCCGCGTGATTTAGTTCTATATTCAGTGCCCTGGCTCCGTTTGGGCTGTCGGGCGTCAGCCGTCGAATCAGGGCTCATAGCCCGCCCCGCCGCCCCTCGCCACGTGACCGTCTCGTCCGATGCGGGGCTGCTCCACATTACGTCGCTACCATTACGACGGTCGCCGTCGTAATGGTAGTGACGATTGTGTGTGGTGGTGCCTGCCGTCGGCTTCGGCAGGAGCCTGTCACGCCGTTCGTCACGTTGGGCTGCGAACTCGTCCGAACGCGGGTCCTCGCCCTCGCGACGCCCTTGACCCCGTGCGTGGTGGGCGCCGCAGGCCTGTGCCTGGAGAAGGCGCCGCTGGCCAGCAGCAGCAAGTTCAAGGCGGCTGAGCGTGAGGAGGGCGTCATTGGCTCTTTCGAGCTGGCCAGCGACCTGGCCCTGCTCTACCTGCAGGAGGTCGACAAGAGCTCCAACATGCAGAGCACGTGGAGCGTGCACACAGCTGGTCAGTCCGCTGCGAACTCGCGTCTCCGCACATGCAGGCGTGAAGGGAACTGGAGCGGCGCGTGCATGGGACAACTCAGTCTAAAGGCCGCGCTTTTTAACCTGCGGATTCACAAGGTCATCGCAATTGGCACTTTTTGAGCGGCGTCAGTCTGCGCTGGTCAGCTCGGGCTAAATGCCGCGTTGTTTTAAGCTGGGGATTGATAAGCTCGCCACAGTCCCAACTTTTTGAGTGGCCTCAGTCCGCACTGGTTAACTTGGGCTAAATGCTGTGCTGATGTAACCTGTGGATAAATGAGCTCGCCACAGTCCGCACTTTTCGAGCAGCGTCAGTCCGCACTTTTCGAGTGGCGTCAGTCCGCTCTTTTCGTTTGATGGCGAGAGATATCAATTGCTTTCCTGGCCGGCGGCGATGGCGCCGGGACCTATTCTGAGTTGTATTTTAAATGTCACCGCCAGTGCATTGCTCCGTTCTGCATTGTCAGTCGCTTTCCAGCTATGTCATGTCTCGTGCGGTGCTGTTTCAGGCTCCTCCAGCTCGCCTCTACCGCCGCACCCGGAGAACCGGCTGGGCCTGATCCTGGAGACGGCGCTGCAGAAGGCTCCCATCCTCATCCTCAAGGCCAATCAGATGCCCCGGGCCATTCGGCGGTACAGGTGAGCGGCGCAGGGCTGGCGCGGGGCTCAGGCCGGCCCGCGGCGGCGGCGAGACGGCCTACGGGCTGCAAGCCGCCTGAGCTCGGGCTGGGTATGGACACCTGTCTCGCAGGTTGTGCAGATTCGTGCTGCAAGCGAGAGGCACCCGATGCTACTCAAACAGGATGCCATGCATTCAACACCGCCCGGGCACTTGTGATTATCTCGAGATGTGTGACGGAGCAGAGCTTACGGAGCAGCCAGATACACCAGACACCCCGTTCTCTGTGACATCAGCTTGACTTAAGACGTAGGGAGACCTTGCCCACGCCCGGTCTGACCCGCCCGACAGGATGATCCTGGGCGCGGTGGAGACGTCGGCCACGCAGGGCGTCCGACTGGCCATGGCCCGCCGGCTGGCCGAGATCCTGCTCAGGGGCGTCAGCGACAAGGCTTACGAGAAGCTGGAGGCGATCCTTGTCAGCGGTGAGTGAGAGCGGTGCTGACTGCGTGGCGCTCGGCACCAGACCGACACAGGCCGCAGTGTAGATAACGCTGCGTACTTTAGGAGTGTTTTGAGGCCCGCTGTAGTGCCCTAGTCTGCCTACTGGCAGTTTTTTTTTTTTTGTATTCTTGCATTAGTTTCTGGCGTGACGTGCTGGTCGTGTGCCACTCAATCTTGACAATTTCGCTGTATTCACGTTGTAGCAGACAATGCGTGGCATTGAGTTCCCGCGTTGAGAGGCACTTGTGAATTTTTCTTAATGATAGATAATGATAATTTGTAATAAATAAGTATAATTAGAAGCTTCAGACACCTATTCTGGGTATATCAACTCTGAGAGCTGAGTGGTCAAGCTGGACAGGCTGGCGGCCGACGTAGTGACTGAGCCCGTCCCGCAGACCAAAAGAAGAGCTCGATTGGTGGCCGGTCGGTGGTGTCGCCGTGGAAACCGCGGCGCCAGGTGGGCAGCAATCTGTTCGTGCCCAAGGACATCAACGAGGAGATAGTGCTGCTGCTGCTAATCAGGTGAGCGCGTGCTGTCAGGCTGCTGGGAGCGGGCCGGCGGAGCCGGATCAGACTGCCAGCCACGGCGGATCTGGGAGCGAGATCGGCGGCCGGATCAGATTGCCAGCCGCGGCGGATCTGGGGGCGAGATCGGCGGCCGGATCGGACTAACAGCCGCGGCGGATCTGGGAGCGAGATCGGCGGCCGGATCGGACTGACAGCCGCGGCGGATCTGGGAACGAGATCGACGGCCGGATCAGATTGCCAGTCGCGGCGGATCTGGGAGTGAGATCGGCGGCCGGATCAGACTGCCAGCTTCGACGGAAGCGCAGGCGGTACCCACTTCGGCATGGAATATCGATGCATCATTTGGCGAATCCGGCGTGGCCTCTGTGGGGTACATGTACGATGAGATAATGACTACGTCGGTGGCTTCAAATGGTTCGCTTGCTTGAAATGTCCTCCTGCCTGTGCATCGCGCTGTGCTGTACCGTCCTGCCGCTTCCCGGCGTCGCTGGTGACTCACGCCAGCTATGGCCGTCTACAGTCAATCGGGTGACTGAGTGATGCCCTGGTAGCCGCTCTCCGCCTTCAGACGCAAAATAACAGTGCCATCTAACATGTTTTGGGTTTTGTATTCTCCGGGGAGGCCGCCAACGACACACCAGCTCCTGCTTGCAGACTTCCTGTGCCACCATCCGGCTCAGTTCCCTGTCGACATATTCACCAATGTGCGCTGTGGGTTATGACTAGAGCTCCAGGCTCCGTTCCCTGGCGGCCTGATCACCAGCACTCCAGGCTCCGTTCCCTGGCGGCCTGATCACCAGCGCTCCAGGCTCCGTTCCCTGTCGGTCTGATCACCAGCACTCCAAGCTCCGTTCCCTGTCCGTCTGATCACCAATGCTTCAGGCTCCGTTCGCTGTCTGCCTGATCACCAGCGCTCTGTACCATCCGTGGTGACGTCGTGCCTCTGCCCGTGAGACAGCGAGGCTCTGGCGGTGCGGGAGGCCGTGCTGACCCAGTCGCCGGAGACGGCCGAGGCGCGTCAGAAGTCCTACGGCGTCGCCACCTCCGTCTACGACCTGATGACGATGGCGTTGGTCAGAAAGGGCCAGGCTGTCATGCTGTGCGAGGTGAGCTGGCGGGGTCGGAGTGGCTGCCAACGGCCGTGACGCCGTACAATCGGGCGGATGCGACGAGCCCGCCTTCCGAGAGGCGCTGACTAGTCGAGCTTGCCCGGCCGAGAAACACTGACAGTGCGGCTTCTGCCCGCAGCGGCACTGACTAGTCGGTTGATCTCATGCTTGGACTCCCAGTCAGCCAGTGCCCACCTCGCAGGCACGTGGTGACCCTCTCAGAGTCGTGGCGGAGCGGTACGTGTATCATGTTACCGGCCCATGGCTGCCAAAGAGGATCCTCGCCGCTATGCCCCCTGATCGCGGAGTGACTCCCTCGGCTGACGCCCGCTAACGCCGCCCCCTCTCCCTTCCCTCACTCGCCCGCCGGCAGTCGCTGGAGCGGGCGCTGCGCTTCAGTTTCGAGGAGGCGCACGTGTGGCAGCAGTACGCGCTGTCGTTGGCGGCGGCCGGCCGGCCGCAGCGCGCCCAGCTGGTGCTCGAGGAGGCCTTCCGGCTGAACCCGGACAAGGCGGTGCTGCCGCTGCTGGCGGCGCGCCTCTGCTACGAGAACCTGCACCGGGTGAGCGGGGCATGACAGCCGCTGGCGGTGCCGCCGGTACAGACAGCGTCCCAGCGGCTGGGGACGAGTGGCACCACCGGCGTCGGCGGCTGGGTGGTAGCTCATGCACGCATGTTTAATGCACCAGGCGTGGAAAGTCATTACGTGGAAGAGGCAAATTCGTTGCGCGTTTTTTGCAGTCGAAGAGTGTCCGTTAGCTGTGCCGCCATTCACAACGTGCTGTGGTTGGCCTACTTGCCCTGGTAGCGGCCCGCTGCGCCGACCACCTGTGGCGAGGCCGTGCCGGCTGGAGCTGGCTGGCCGGAGGCTGCTTGCGGTGGTGACGATGGCGCGTCCCCGCAGTTTGAGGACGGGATGCGGTGGAGCGAGTGTTTGCGATGGTGACGATCGGTTACCTCCCCAGTTTGAGGACGGGTTGCGGTGGAGCGAGTGTTTGCGTTGGTGACGATCGGGCGTCTCCTCAGTTTGAGGACGGGTTGCGGTGGGGCGAGTGTTTGTGGTGGTGACGATGGGGCGTCTCCTCAGTTTGAGGACGGGGTGCGATGGAGCGAGCGCGCCCTGCGCCAGGAGTCCTCTGAGTCGCACGGCCTGGCCAGCCGCTGCCACCTGTACCTGGGGCATCGGCCAGATGCTGCAGGCCGGCGTGTCGCGCCAGCAGCAGGAGAAGCAGCGGCTGGCCGACGCCGCGCTCGACAACTTCCGCAGGTGGGCGTGCTCCGCGGCCGGCGGCCGGAGCGGAGCCGGCGTCAGGGCGGCCGGCGCCCCATCGGTTGGGATGCCGGGGACCTGTCGTGACGTTCGGCTCGCGCTAGCGCTGGCGTGCACCAGTTGAACAGTAGCGTTGAAGTTGGACGAGCGTAACGGTGTCCTTTCGAAGGGACGTGTTGCCTGTGCATCGCGTAACCCGGACCGCGTGAACGAAACGAGGCTACGATGTTGCAGGCTGATAATTGAAAGGTTTATCTTATTAAATAAAGCGGTTTTTATCATTGCACTGAACATCCCACTGTCACTCACTATCGTTGTGAACTGACGCCAGCAGCGGCGGAGGACCGAGGCATAGCGTCACGCCATCATAAAGCCAACCTTTCGCCGTTTCGGTACCGTGTCGCTGACCTGTAAGACATGGGGTGGATTATACTCGTACATCAGTTCGAGCAGCCTCACTCGTTGGTCTGTGTTACGGTCATTTCTTGTGTCCCTCATTCGCTCTCATAACACAGCCCGACTGCACACTCATGCAATATGGAGCCATACATTCAGTGCCTCTCCATCACCGCCCTTTCGTCCAGGGCGGGAAGCAAGCGATGCCGTGCAGCCTGAACAACCAAGCGCATTGTGGAGCTCTGGTGACGTCGCCCCCCCCCCCCCCCCATCAGGTGTCACGAGCTGGACCCGGGTGACCATCTGGCCGCCTTCTACATGGGTTACCAGATGGCGCGGGCACGCCAGGTGGCGGCGGCCGTGGCGCACGTGCGCACCGCGCTGGAGCGGCGGCCGGACCACTTGGGTTCGCTGCACCTGCTGGCCCTGCTGCTGACCGCCCAGAACCAGCACAGCGGCGCTCTGGAGGTGGGTGGCCGCTGGGGGTCCGGGTGACACTGGACCAGCGCGGTAGAGTGCTGATGGTGGGTCAGGTCAGCACCCTCCCTCCGGGCCGGAGCATCCAGCTGACTGACGGGGAAGGCTCAGTTCTCCATCCCTCGGTGCCCGGGCACAATGCAATGCATCTCCGTCGGCTGTACACTACGCCCCGTCCTCCGTGGTCAGCGGCGGCCTCTTGTTTCAGCTGCTGCGCGTGGCCCAGGACGAGTACCCGGAGGACCTCCAGCTGATGTTCACTCGCGTCCACGTGGAGGAGTACTGCAACGGTGGAGAGGTGAGGCGTCTGCGGCGCAGTGGATCTGCGCAGGTGCTCACTCGGATGTGGGTCGATAACATCTTCAATCAGATCCGCCCTCGCAGTGAGTCGGTCACAGCGATCTTCTCCCAGGCCATCCTTGGCTGGTTGGGTGTGTTCGAGCCGTCATACGTGCTCGCTATTTTCCCGCTGACTGGTTTGGGCTGACTGGGATTGGTCGTGGTCGCTCAAGGTCATATGAGGTTAAAGGGCACGACGGACTAAGCTAGACTTTGCGGCACGTCAATTTTTGGCCGCAAAATTATGCCGTTGACCTAGAGTTGTACGATGGGGCGGTAGGATCTGAGCTCACGTAACGAACACTGTGAAGTAGGATCTCTGATCGCTGAAATCCATCTAATCAGAAGGCCCTGACTGAGGTTATAATAGGATGTTTTGTCAAGTCCCATATGCCTGTCCTGGACACCTTGTATACCTAAAGGTATACCTTGTATACCTTTTGTATACCTATATAGCACACCATATATATATATATATATATATATATATATATATATATATATATATATATATATATATATATATATATTCTCGTATATATAATATTTACTATATATATATATATATATATATATATATATCGACAACGTTGCTTGAGCAGGCAGTACTAAGCTGACTTTTCACGCTGCATTTCCTGTGTCGTCCGGCAGGCGGCGCTGATCGTGGCGCGGGAGATGCTGGAGCAGTGGAAGGAGATCTACGATGCCCGCATGGCGGAGAACAGTCTGGACACTGACCGACAGTACTCGGTCGTCTCCGACCCCGATTCAGGTGCGCCGTGTGTCCTCACCGACAAAACACGCACAGGTCACAAAATACTAACGGCACTTACAGCAGGGGCGAATGGCACCCCGTGTGTTGTAGGTGGTACGCGGAACCGTTCGAGGAAGAGGTAATGCAGTACCTGCCATATGCCCAGGACATAAATGACTTCTTTAATGTGCTTGACCATTCATTGTTGGATAATGGACCAGTAAGATCTAGCTGTGCATCAGACTTTTGCATTTGCATATTACTGGAGCACTTGTCCCTTCGTCGGTCTCAGATAAGTTGATGCAAACCATTAAGCCAGTAAAGTCAATATGCGTTCCTTCGAGATGTGCGAGGCCATTCCTGATGAGATCAGGACATGACAAACCTTCTCATTTCGTATGTATTTTTACTGCTTATTCAGTCGTGTTTTAGGCATAGGAATACGTTTTGCACTATTACCACCGTCTTACAGCACAGCATGTCAAAGCATGACCAGCGTTCAGAGGAGATCGAACGATTGATATCGATGTTTGTCATGTATAAAGCTTGAATAGTGCACTCAGTAGGAAACATAGAATGGTGGGGGAGTAGACGGTAGAAAGCGTGTATAGCACACCATAGCAATAGCTGGCGTCACGAATGTGCCAGACATCAAGGCATCGGTACTGGGCACACCACCCCTACAGTCCGGCCCCCGTACACAAGCAGCCAGCTGTGAATGACGGGTGCTGCGGGTGATCTCCCAGCAGCGCTCGGCCCGCCGGTGTAGTCCGCACCGAGCCTGCCGGCGCCGACGCTGGGTCAGGCCAGGGCCCGGGTCGGCACGGTCCCCCCGCGGCGCGTCCCTGGGCCGGGTCCTGGGCCGGAGGCCGCGGGCGCCCCGTCTGGGCCGGCCCAGAGGCCGCGGGCGCCCCCTCTGGGCCGGCCCAGAGGCCGCGGGCGCCCCCTCTGGGACGGCCCAGAGGCCGCGGGCGCCCTCTCTGGGCCGGCCCAGAGGCCGCGGGCGCCCTCTCTGGGCCGGCCCAGAGCACCACTGCGCGGAAGCCGTCCCTGTCCGGGGCCAGTGTCAGTCGTAGCTGTGCTCTGTCCGAAGTGCCGCTCTGTGCCTGCTGTGTGGAGCCGCGGGCCGTCAGCTGACGCGCGCCGGCGGGCTCTGACGTCAGCGTTACGTCACCGCAGCGGATAAAGTAGCGCGCCACGTGGTGCTCTCGCCGCTGGAGACGCTGGCCATCCCGGTCCTGGGGCCGAACCACCTGTTGCCCTCGCCCGCCGGCTCCGAGTGCGAAGGTAGCTGCGGCGGCGCGTTCCGCACGCCCCGCCCCCCATCCGCCCCTGTCCGCTGTACATAGCTGTCGCCGCCGTCGTCGCTGCCGCTGCTGCTGCCGCTGCTGCCGCCGCTGCTGCTGCCGCCACCGCTGCGGGCAGGGCTGCCGCCGCTGCCGGTGACGGCAGGCGCGCTGGAGCAGTGAAAGTGCGGATGGGGTGGGCCGGTCCTGGCCCGGTTTTTGCTTGACATTTTGGGCGCTGGCTGCGGTAGTTTGCGTTTGTCGTCCGGAGGCGGCGGACTGCTGTGGGGGTTTCTGAGGTTGCGACCGGCACCGAGGAGCATGCGACCGGCGTACTAAGCTGTGCGTACTACTTGGACTTAACAGGGCTTTGGTCTGGCGACGGCCTGCATGCATGGTATACAGTAGTTTACAATACTAATACGGGTTTCGTGTGCCTGGTGTGCGTAGCCAATATTTAGTGTATATTAGGGTGGTCCCCTGTTCTGTGCTGAGGACTTTTCCAAAGTGCTTTCTCATGAGCCGACGCGTGTTTGGGATGAAATCATGCGGGGTAAATGTGGCCAGTCCAGCACTTTTAAGCACTGTCACACGTGGATTGAATGCCAAATTCTCATACAGTGTAGGCCATAAAAGTTCGCTCTAGTATTCCCCATGAACTTGTGATCCCTAGTGGTTTTGGACAACGTGATGTCAAAGTCTAAAATGGCCCAACCGTGTATGGTGTACTCCAGTTTTTAAACCATGAACACGATATGCATGCATACTACATCAATGTTCACCTCCTGACGCGATGGATTGAAGAACACTTCGCGCGGTCCGTCGCAGAGCAGATATCATTGAATCAGTCACGAACGGCATAGCTCAGGCGAAGATGTTTGCAGACCTTTCCCCTCCACCTTGAAGTCTAGGAATAACGGCGAATGTGTCATTCGACACCTGCAGCAGGTTCTGCTTTCGCTTGTCTTTCCTCGTCAGTGCCGCGTTGTCCGTATGGACAAGAGCTACGCATCGCTCGACGAAGCCGTTTGCTGCCGCGATCCTGCATGCGACTTCCTTGGCATTCGTGAAGTCCGATGTTGTCACCAATCGCTGGGATGGGCGACGAGGTCTTCGTTGGTCCCACAGGGCCTCAGGATTCCCACCGACCGATCGTGATGAAGTCCGCGAGGGTCTTCTTGCTGAAACTCCCTTTACCGCGAGATCCACTTGTGCTCACTGTGGTGTACTCATCGATCCCTGTCCCTGAGACACCGCGACCATCATCCTCATCTCGAACGACACCTCGTCGAATCAGCTGTTGCGAACCATCCAGCTCTTCGCTGAGGTGCCAGAGGTGACTGGTGAACTTCTTGGGGTCGCCTGCTGCAAGATTTGAGCGTCCGGATAGCTGGTGACGCATCGCAAGAGGGCCGAGCCGTGCGCGGTAGCCTCGACCACTGGTGCGGAGAACCGTGCCCTGACGATGGAAGAGACGATACACTTGAGTGCTCCTATTCGCTGAGTGTTAGTCAGAACTGATCGCGAAACAAGGAGATGCTGACCCCGTAAATCGGAGGTCCCATTCATCCGGCACGGTGGAGAGCACCCGGGTGGTAAAACTTCGGCCAGCCTCCCGCGGCAAAAGGTAACGACACGATCCTTTGAGGAGAGACAAGTCTCACCTACTGTCGGCTCCAGGTATTCATGCACCATGGGCTCAAACTCCGACTGATGTGCCCCTCTCCGCTCCTGAAGCACTGAAGCAAGGCAATTTGTGGTCCCGAAGGCGGACCGAAGCACGTGGAGAAAGCCGCCTCCGTCCTCAATTCAAAGGTATGCTTACCAGCGAAGCGAAGTGGAGGAGCTGTCGCCTGAGCTCCTGTTGATGGAGCGTGCATACTGGAGGCACTTTGACACTGTCACTGGAGGTGGTGTCAAAGCTCGATCCTTTGTCCCTCTTCGCGACGGTCCAGTGGTTCACACGGGGCGCGGCAGCGTCGGTTGTCGTGGCGCCAAATCCTCTGGCGAGCCTGGGAGCACCACGGGGCTTGATGGCGCCTCTTGGACCGGCTACTGGGACGAATCGATTCACGCTCTCCTCTCCATCGTCGGGTCCTGTGTCTCCGTCTCAGTGGACCACCAGGAAAAGGACGCCGGATGTCTCCCGCGGTGGCTCTCGTCTGCAATGTGCGCGTCCGCCTGATTGATCCTCGGCTTGTCGTCTGGCCAGGGGAGCCGCGACGAAGGTCATCGTCAGTCGGAGCTGGACCCCAGAGGGGTCGCTGAGCTGGGACCGATGGATGGCTGCTGCCAGACCAGCGTCTTGGTTCACCCGCATTGCCGTTTCAGAGAAGAAAGCGGCGTGAATGGCTGCGTGTCATCCGCACTTGCCACTTGTGTGCTGTCGGTGGATGAAGATTCCAACAGGGCAGTTGCCTCGTGTTCGGCGTGCTCTCCCGTCCGGCAACGGACCCTTTCTGCGGTCTGCTGTTACGATTGGAGAGCTGCACTCTTCCTTCCCAGCAAGAAGCTGGATTGCCACCATGAAACCTCAGTGGCTTCGCTCCCATTGGGCCTGAAAGAAGTCTTTGTTCTCTGGGACTTTGATGATCTTCATAGCATCGACATGGGAAGTCTCAAAGAGGTCTTCGAGGCATCTCGTAAATTTCTTTTTCTCCACTCGCGCTGTGGACCTTGTGCATTTGTCTCCGAAGACAGCTGGTCACTGGTCAAGTTTTCTGTTTGACTTTTTATCACGCTCCCTCCAGCGCAGTGCCAGCGCGGACTTTTTTCCACATCCCACGTCACCTCGCGAACGGCGGTGTTTCGGCCTATTCCTGGGCGAGCGTTTCCGCATGACGCAACCGAAAATGTCACTGCGGCACTTGTGTCCAGCCAGGCGGCCTATTTCCTGGCACTGATTCGACGAGAGCGTCAATCAACCAAATTTCGGCTTTTGTCGTGGGGCGCATTGCGGGGTGCGACCGCAGTGTCACGGGCTTCCGCTACGAAGGGTGCTTCCTGCATTGCCGCCAGTCGCCGTGGGCACCCGCACAACCCCGCCGCGTATTAACCCCCGGGGAAATTGCCACGACGGTGTTTGAGGCGCGCGTGCGGCGCGCACGGCGACCGACCGATGAGCCCGCACCGACGACGCTCGCATTGCACCTCGCCTTGGGTGATAGGGGCGGGGGCGCGAGCGAACCCCCCGTCGCACCATCTTCGCGAGTCTTCTGGACGGTTGAGCTGGATCCGATCGCTCCCACGGGGTGCCGACAGCGGTGGGTGACGCGGCACGTCCAGAACTTGTTCGCGGCGAGTTTTCGGGAGGGGGGATGAGCGCGGACACCGAGAGCAGTGATTGCAGTGATTGCAGTGGGTGCAGTGCGGTGATCCTAGCAGTGATTCACCTCGGTATGGTGAAAATGGAAGCCGGAATTGACGTAACATATCCTATCCAAACAAGTAGAACACTTGCACGCTGCAGATAGAAGTTCACATGTCGGTCAGTTTACTCAGGGATCTTGTTACAGTAGTAAACATGGACCAAATTTAATATGCTAGGGCACGAGTATCTCTGCTTAGGATGTGTAGCATCAGCATGCTGAAGCGCTTTTGAAAAGATCACAGAAGCAATGGCGGACCACCCTGGTGCCTATGTGCGTGGCAACAACTGTTTGAAGGAGACGCGTATCTCCAGCCCAATGTCGTTTACTGCTGTTGTTGTATTGCGAGCCATGCCGTGATGTGTTACCTCAAGGCGAGCGCGTACTGAAGACCTGCCTGGAGTTCGCCATCGTGTTGTGTGGTCAAACCTGGAATATGGAGAGGGCCTGAAAATGGTATTTCGAGTGTGGAAACGTTTAAAAAAAAAACGCGCAGTTTACAGGGGATATTGGGAGCAAATCCGATGTCGATAGTTGTGGCGGGGAGGGTGATTTTTTAAGGGACATGTTCCCCAGTCTCCCATTGGTGACACCCTTCTGTCTGTGTGTGTGTCTGTGGCGCTCACGCCGGCCGGGTACAGGTGGAGCCCCACTGTTCGGTCTGTGTTCGGTCCGTGTCGCGTGTGACGCGGCCCATCCTGCGGCGCGCGCTGTCGGCCTGTCCGTGCGGCTGGGGCGACCGCGCCGCCAGCCGAGCCGAGCCGAGCCTCCCTCACACCGCTCCGGCTGCGCGGCGGCAGGCTCCGTGCGCGCGTCGTCCACCATCGCGCCGTCTCGCGTAGAGCAGGCGCTCTCCGAGGTGGCCTCGTCGCTGACGTCCAGCCAGCCGCGGCCGGGGCCGCAGCAGGTCTGGGACCTGCAGATCCGGATATGGCTGCTCGTCGCCGACCTCTACCTCAAGTGGGTACAGCGTCTTACACGCACACACGCCGCCTTACCGGGGTAGCCTCCCGCCCGCCGCCGCCGCGTTCAGGGCGTCACCCATCTGCGGCATTGGTTGCCTCATTTCTTCGGCCTGGAACACAGTATCTAGCTTCCTTGGTAACTCTTTACCGCCCCCATGACCCCCCCATTATCGAACAGCTTGGCCACTTTTCTTTTCAAGCAAATCGTCTACGCCATTTCTAGGCTGACACATTGTGCGTGCGTGTGACGCGCACGGCCACTGGTCGGATGCCGCCGCCACCCGTCCGTAATGAGCCGACGGTCGGCGCGTGCGGTCGTGCTCGGCGCAGCCGGCCGTGGCCGCTGTTCAGTGCGTGGCGCGCGTGGCGGGCCGGCAGCTCGGCAGCTGACGCGTGCTGACTGCCCCCAGACTGGGCCAGACCAACCAGGCCATCTCGTGTGTGCAGGAGGCGGCCACCATCGCACCCGCCTCGCACCACGTGCTGTACTTCGTGAGTGACGGCCGACGGAGGCCGCTTGCCCGTTGGACCGCTGGGCCGCTGGGCCGCTTGGCCGTTGGGCCGCTTGGCCACTGGGTCGACAGACCCTTGGAGTCGACAGACCTTTGGGCCGCTGGACCATTGGGCTGCTGGACCGGTGGGCCGAGGGACCGTTGGGCCGTTGGGCCGAGGGACCGTTGGGCCGTTGGACCGGTTAGCCTGTGAGCCCGTATGTGGGAGTACTGGGGCCGCAGCCAGGGCATAGTATAGTGGCAGTCCCCATGAAAACGTGTGGTTTTGAAGTGCTCTTTGTCTGGCTTGTTCAAATAAGACGTGGAACAGCTATGTCTCAAGTGCTGTGCAGACACGTATGGAGTCAGTGACCATTGCCTAATAATCCCAACAGCTCTGCTGCCGTGGCATAGCTCCCGCTGTTCCCCAGTGGAGTGACCCTGCTCATTGACTGTCGTATTCTGCGCCGCCTCGTCCCCTGAATGATATCGTTAGCTGTATGCCTGCCAGCGGTCGGCCTTGGGCCGCTTATCATCAGCCGATGGGCGCGTGGCCGTGCCACAAGGCAGCGGGGCTGCCATGTCTTCGCTGACCCTCGCTCCCGGCCACCACCCGCAGAAGGGACTGGTGCACGTGTACAAGAACGAGTTCGAGGAGGCCAAGGTCCACTTCAACGATGCGCTGGCGCTGAACCCGCACCACATCAAGAGCATGCAGCACCTGGTGCGTGCCGCGCGAGCCCGGTGTGACCCTCTGGGTGTGCGTGTGAGGCCATGGATGGTGCTCCAGGGACGGTCGCCGGCATGGCTCGGGCCGGTGCGGGGTGGTCAGCTGTTGCGGCGCCGCAACGCTCGGGTCAGCGTCAGCATTGTGGCGTAGTCGAGACCCGCGAGCCAGCAAGAGCATGGGCGCGATGCCGTCCAAGATGTGCACCTGCGGCTTCGACTGTCGTGTGCGGATGCATGGGGATTGGCGCCGTTGTTGTTGCGCTCGCGCCGGCTGTCCGTCTCACCGGAGCCGCTGCTGGGCGTCGCCTGCCGCCGATGGTGTCACGTGACGTCCGTGTGCTGTTCGCCGCAGGGTCTGGTGCATCACTACCTGGGCAGCCACCGTCTGGCCGAGAAGATGCTGCGGGACGCCATCCAGCTGGAGCCGCTGGTGCACCAGAGCTGGTGAGCCCACCGGGCCGGCCCGCCCCTGGGCTGCCGGTGTCGTGCGATACACAGCCGGCACGGCACGGCACGGCTCGCCTCTCCGGACACACACCGCGCGCACCACATGTGATGTGTCAACGTGGCAAGGCGGATTGCGCCGGCACGTCACGTATTGAAGGCCACGTCTTGAGCACGTGTCTGCGATGCTGTATGTAACGTGTGTCATGTTTTGTGTGCGTGATCGTGTTTAGCGGGTACGGTCGTGTTGGGTGCGTGGCACGGTTGCCTGTTACCGCACGGATAACCTGACAGGGTGGCTCATCCTGTGGGAGGACGTAGCTCCGTGTGACCTTTGACCTCCCCCGTCCGGCTTTTGCCTGAGAGACGTGCGGCTCATGAACACTACACGAGCGAGGGATTAAGGCGCGTGTTGCCGCATTAGGCACGTTTGGATGCTCTCAGCGATCTCAGTTGTTTCGAGTGCTTGCATGTGAATTTCACATAACTGCTTCGAGACTTTAACAACATAAAGATCCGCCCCTTCATCCTCTTTCTTGGTTTATCCTGCATCCTCGCGACGCCACGCCTATCCGGGACAGGCTGTATGCGCCAGCCTCGAGCAGGCTGAGAGGCTTTTCTGTTGAGGCCCCCGTCTGGGCGCCCGGCGCATAGCCCGCAGAGGGGTCCCTACGCGGACTTAGTCTCGGCCGTCGGGCCTCCTGGCGCGCATAGTTACACCCCACCATTATCCATTCTCGTTCATCCCATAGCCCTGAAATGGTCCTTACTGAATGAGAGGACGCTAGTCCAAATGGCAAGCAGCATAAAAACCGTAACAATGATTTACGATGTGTGGCGCGCCGGACTGCTCCGATTTGCTGGGGAGGTGGGACACGCAGGAGCGTTTGCGATGCCTTCTTTCGGGCGTCATCCTCCACCTAGCTTCTCCCAGCGTGACGGCCGCGTTCCACCCGTCGACAGGTACAACCTGGGCAAGGTGCTGGAGTTTCTGGGCGAGAACGAGGCGGCGGCCGACTGCTTCATGACGGCCGTCGACATCGAGGCGACGGCGCCTGTGCTGCCGTTCACCGCCGTGCCGCTCTGCTTCGAGTGACGCCCGCCAGCGGCGCTGCCGGGCGGCTTCATGACGGCCGTGGACATCGAGGCGACGGCGCCTGTGCTGCCGTTCACCGCCGTGCCGCTCTGCTTCGAGTGACGCCCGCCAGCGGCGCTGCCGGGCGGCTTCATGACGGCCGTGGACATCGAGGCGATGGCGCCTGTGCTGCCGTTCACCGCCGTGCCGCTCTGCTTCGAGTGACGCCCGCCAGCGGCGCTGCCGGGCGGCTTCATGACGGCCGTGGACATCGAGGCGATGGCGCCTGTGCTGCCGTTCACCGCCGTGCCGCTCTGCTTCGAGTGACGCCCGCCAGCGGCGCTGCCGAGCGGCTTCATGACGGCCGTGGACATCGAGGCGATGGCGCCTGTGCTGCCGTTCACCGCCGTGCCGCTCTGCTTCGAGTGACGCCCGCCAGCGGCGCTGCCGGGCGGCTTCATGACGGCCGTGGACATCGAGGCGATGGTGCCTGTGCTGCCGTTCACCGCCGTGCCGCTCTGCTTCGAGTGACGCCCGCCAGGGGCGCTGCCGGGCGGCGGTCTCTGGGTACCGGGGCGGCTCGGCTGCATTGGCGTGAATCATTTGTTATCTGTGTACCGTGGAACAAGGGTTTTTACCCCGTAGAGAGCTAAAACTAGTGTGTCTAGTCCACGTGTGTGTTTGTTGACGGGTGAGGTGGCTCGCAATATGGAGTGCCGCGGTGCTTGTGCGTCGTTCGCTGGTGTTGTGCTAGTCACCGTTAGCTGGATTTGCTATCGTGCCGCGTCGGTTCTTCTCACCGGACCCTGCCGGTTTGTGACGGTGGGTGCAGTGTTACCTGCAGGCCGGTGAGCGGGGAGTCACCGGAGCTCAGCGGTGGAGCGTCTGTATCGCGGCCGGCAGATTGCCTCTTCAGACTCAGCAGCTGTTCCGTTTTTGACGCGGCTGTCACGGTGACCGTGGGCGACTCCCGCGGCGCGGACCGGGACGCGGTCGTGCGTCGCACAACAATCAAAACACTGACACGCTTCTCCTCCGAATCCCCCGCCCTGTCGCGGCCCGTGCTGGTGTTGTGGCTCCTTCAGGCGTGCGGGTGGACTCGCGGCCGACGTTCCCAGACCACTCGGCATGTCCGCTTCAACGATGTGCAAGAAGTGAATATGACGAACTTGTTGTAAATGGTGTCCCTGACGTGGGCTGTTGGGCAGCTTGTGTTCCGTCAACACTCGAGCGGTGCGTTGTGCGTGACGCTGGTATGAAGTCAGCGTTGGCACCGTACCATTAATGTGGCCATCGCGAGGCCTGGACTTCCCTTCCGCGCTCGTCCGTTCCTGTGATACGACATTCCTCCCGCGCGTCGCGGTGTGGCGTCCCCGAGGTCGGACCTGATTGGCCCGGAGTCATGTCCGGTCCGTGTGACGTCACTGCCATGGCGAATTTAGACGCCACAGTTTACCCTGGTGCTGGCTGGCTATCCCACGGCGGGGGCGACGACGGCTTACACAATACATACATGTCTACTGTTGTTGTTGTGGCTACCTCTTGACGGTGCTCTGTGGAATTACTCGAGATGAATGGCAGGCTGCCAACGAAACGGCCACTGATGGCCGGCGCTGAAGAACCTGGCGTGTTTGTATTTTGTTGGCCCCGCTCTCTGGCCATCAAGAAATGCACTGGGCATCGTGTGGCAGATATCTGACAGGCGCTGAAAGTGCTGATCTCATACCAGGTAATCGAATCCCACATCATTGCATGACAGGCCAAATATCTGAGGACTGAGTTCAGAAAAATATGGTATTTCAGGCCTGGCTTGTGGAATATCTGCCTTCGTAACCTATATACGGCTTGTACATCACTTCACTGCTCCTTGCTGCTCCAGAAAGCTCGGCGACTTTCGCGATCGTCAGACGAAATAAACGCAGACGAAAGAAACATGGGACGATACATATGCGGGCGCTGGGTGCGCGTAACGGGCCTGCCGAGGGCCATGCCTCCACACAGCCTTCAGTAACACTGATTTAGACGTAGGCTTTTTAACGCTCAATACCTCGAACGCGCATGATCTTTAACAGCGGTAGGATCAGTCGTCGGGTCCTCGCACACATTTAGAGTTACTGGGTTCGACCAAGAGCGGATCTCGAACGGTGCCGCATGGGGTCAGCACCGGTTTGGAGGAAAGTCCAAAGAGATGCCGTAATTTTCAACTACTCAACATTTCCTTCCTTTCGCTCAAAGACCTGTATGTCCTAAAGCAAGCTTGTCTTGATAAAATTGATGTCATTCAGACAAGAACTGTAATGTTTTGCCCAACTTCGACCATCTTCGGGGTATGTGGCTCAGTTGCTGACCTTCCCTTCTGTTTCCCATCACTGGATCCCTCCTTGTTTTCGACTCGCTGATGTGGGGCATCAAGTTTGGATGTTTACTGTCATAGTGTTTTAGTACCCCCGTTCACAGAACCCCATTCAAGGCCAAGCAAGGCCAGTAAGGCTAGGGCCAGTATCCCGTTCACAGAACCCCATTCAAGGCCAAGCACGGCCGGTAAGGCTAGGGCCAGTACCCCGTTCACAGAACCCCATTCAAGGCCAAGCACGGCCGGTAAGGCTAGGGCCAGTACCCCGTTCACAGAACCCCATTCAAGGCCAAGCAAGGCCAGTAAGGCTAGGGCCAATACCCCGTTCACAGACCGGCAGATAATGCAATTAGTGAAGTGGTACCTTCAGATGTACTCTGTGACAATAACTGTGAGACTGGGGGGAATGGGACGGGGAACGATAGTAAATTTGAATAAGACACCCACCAACGAGAACATACACGTAACGTCGGATATATAGACCTTAGCACCTTTTACCTGGGGAAAAGGGCTCTGCTTGGGTTGCCATTAATTCGCATGGCGTAACTGGGCCCTTTTGGTTTTGAGATCACGATGGGAAGACGGCAACAGTAGGTCAGGGAAGTGATCGCGGCACCCCCCGCGACAGTTCTAGGGCAAAAGTACCCATGCACAAAGTACGTCCGAAGTTGGTCGCAAGCACAAGGTTTGAAGTTCAAATGGCAGAAGAACGCATGCAAAACCCGTACGCAAAATTTCAGGTTCAAGTGTTGGCATAGTATAAAGCGCGTAGGGAAACCGTTCCGATTGGCAAAAGTTTGTCACCAAAAAAGTTTGTGTGGAAAAACTCGCATGCATAAGGTGTGTACGTGATTGCTTATAAGAAACTGGACGTACGCGTATGTTCGAAGCGGATTAGGTTGGTTCGACAAAAATACGTGCACGAAGGTTCTTAAGCAGCTTAAGGGTAGGAGCGGGGGCTGTGAATGTACCACACTTTCCCGAGAAAAACAAACATTACGCCTTTCGCGATACATGGAGACAAAGGATTGGTATCGTGGGGGATACTCGTTGTTCACTATGTGGAAAGCGTTCGAGAACGGTCAACCACTAGGGAACCAAATTGTGCACCGGTAGATCCCATATTTCGCTCATGTTTGGTTTCCGGGATGATTTAATATATGAATTGGAGTGAGCAATGTCTAGCTCTATCAGGCGTACAGTTTACAAATGATGCCCTCGGTCAGCGTTGGGTCAAATGCAAGCAGGGTCCCTACCAAAGGGGTGCGTCAGAGCAGGTCCTGCTGGTGTATCATTCTCTCTGGACTCCGATTTACTTAATGCAAGCAATTGCATACTTGGTGTCACTGGCGGGTCTGGACGGACGGACCCACCTGGTTCTGACGGGTCTCTCCGTCATATTCCACAATCGAGCTGACTCGGCGCGTCCGTCAGGTGACGTCAGTGACGCGCTCATTGGCATCAGGCGAAGTCGTCGACGGAGACGTCTTCAGGGTTTAGGGATAGTGGATGAGCTTAAAAGACTCGGCGCGCAATCTGCAGCGGACATGGTTTTTTGACACCAAGACAACGGACACCAAGCATGAAAATCTGTATCTCAACGTTCAGCACACATCTTCATACAAAGTTTATCGTGTGCACTACCGTCAGCGAACTTCATCCCTGACAAACACTTTCGTACAAACGTGCTGCTTACATCAGATATCGAAATACGAATCTTGGGTTGCGTGTTTTTTTTTTGTTTTTTTTTTTTTTGTCAAGCGGACGTTTTCTTTGACCAACAGTCACGCGCGAACAGTTAGGTCCAAGCGACTACTTTCGACCTTTTTTACGAAATTTTGCGCGGACGATCAATTTCACTACGAGCTTTTCCTGGCGAATATTTTACCATACCATCTTTATCCATACGTTCTTCTGTCATTATGAACCTTTACCGCTACAAACTGTGCACGCTACTTTCTTCATCCTGAGGAACATTAGGCATACGTACTTTACTTTTTCACTCGTACCTGACATACTTTTTAGGCATACTTGCCACGCGCATTTTCTACATGTACTTTTGTCCGCAAACTCTCTGCGATACCATGCACTGACTGTCTCATCTCCTCTCGACGAAACCCTTGTGTTGGCTTCAAATGACAGCGATTCCAACAAGGTTTACTCACACCTTATGCTGTGTTGGAGACGAGACAACTTTTCTCGAACACATTCCAAATGACACTAATCTTAAGGAAGACAGGACGTGTTTGTGCTCCTTGTTCCTCCGACCTCAACTCCCTAGACTTCCTCCTGTGGGAATACGCAATGAGTAACATGTGCAAGGGCAAAGCAAAGCATCCAGCAGCTCAAGGCAGCTTTTGAAGGGTTCTAAAGCCTGTTTCAGCGGGCACCTGCGAGATAGTGACGTAAAAAATTGCCTTTAAGATCAATGCTTGCGCAGCACGTCACGGGGGTACACCGAGCACGCCATACACGCTGTCTGATAGCACTAAATTTAATAGCGCGGCAGGGGTAGTAACGTTGGCTGTATGATTAGATATGGCGTATCGTCACAATATCCTAAGCGGCTGTGTTGTATGGTCCCAACGTCAACAACGCAGGCGTGCGGGCCAGGACCGGGCGGTGGTCGGGAGCGCGGGGTAGTGCCTCGCTGTCAGCTGCTGTCGCCAGACACCTGCCAAATCTGGGCTGCAG